CATTCCAGCTGCAGGCTTCCCACAGCCATGGAAGTGAGCTTGCCATTCAAACCCCTGCATCTCTTTTCTTCTCTTTGAGTGATGGTGTTGATGCTGATTTCTGCAGCTTTATCTGTTGATTTCTTGATGTCTCTTGAGATGAGGGAACTGAATCTTGGGTGGGTGAGTGGGTTGAGCTGTCTGTGGATATTTGCAGGAGTGAATAAATCTCTTTCCTTGAGAGATTTGTGAACTATTTAATATGACTTGATACCGCCCTTGTGAATAGTATTAAGTTCTGCCAAAATGGGTGATGTCATTCCAGCAATAACAAATGTGTCAAAGAAAAAAAACCTCTGGAGGACAGTTTATCAAAGCAAACCTAAGGCTATTAGCTCATTAGAGTTACATAATGTACTTTCACTACTTGTATGCATAAGTCACAGTGTTATCATGAATTTATTAAAAAAAAAAAAAAAAGAAGAAGCAGCAGCCAGTTCTCTGCTTGAGTGACTTTCTAGTGTTGGGGTAATATTCTGTGATCACATTACAGGGCAGGTACCACTCTGGGAGTCAGCTGGGGTAACTGAGTTGCCAAGGACTTTCCTGGTCCCAAGTACATTGTCTTGTCCTCTCTTTTGGGTTGGTCCTGGCACCATTTAGAGCTGAATCAGCTCACTTGTGCACTGACAATTACTACCTTGCTTTATTGATGGCTTGGTGTTCTGCCAGGGGAATAAGCTGAGTCATGGAAGGAGCAGATGAACACCAGAATCAGCACGAGAAACAGGGACAAGGTCGTGCAGCCAGGATCAGTGGGAGCTGGGGAAGCACGCCTTAACCTGGCCTCTGCTGTGCAGTCATATCTGAAGGTGCTTGGGGGAAGAAAAGGGATATAATCAAATGATAGCAGAACCTTAGAAGAGAAGTGGTAAAAATTATGGAGCATGAAATCTGTTGTTCCTCTGTCCTTCTGACAATGGCACATGTAATTAGATTCTTGTTCCTCCTCCCCTCTTTCACTCCCTGAAGAAATGAAAAGCTTCATTATTAGTTATGGGGAAAACATCTCAGAAACCTTCACAAAGTTTTCTCTAAAGGATCTAATGAGCTTCATGTAGAAGAAAGTATTATACTGTGCATACTGCAAATGTTTATATAATGCATATATAATGCATAATGCAGATGCTGGAAAGCTCCTGGTTCTCTAGGGGATGTGCATCTAAGCAAACTTGATTCCTGCTCTCTCTTGGCTTTAGGGTTATATTTACCTTGAGTAATTAAAATTTTTAAATGTATTTTGTAATTGTTTGACCTAAAATTTCTGCATAGCTACAGCAGCAGAATAAAATAAATGTCTTTGAATTGCTTTAGTTTAAAGAATTCACAATTATATGAAGCTGTAAATTTTCAAATTTTCTGTTTTCTTCTGATGCGTGCAGGCTTTAAATATAGTTATTACTTTTGCAAAGTATAAACCCACTTATTTTCACTATGGAAACATAATGGAAAATTAACAAAACTCAATACTTGGCATCAGTGCAATCATTAGTATTGAAATATTTACATCCAGCCTCAGAAAAAGAGGCAATGCTGAACCTACTAGATAGCAAGCTTATATTTGAGTTACAATACTGAAAAGTGTTGTAGAAGATTCATAATGTCATTACATGTGATTTCTAGCAAAGAAAGTAGGTAATTGGGTTACTTACTGAAGAGTAGATTTTAATACATACTACTGTCTTTTCTTTTTCCCCAGCCTGTAATGAATAATGATAAACATTGCTTTGAGTGTTATGGATATGACATTATTATTGATGACAAGCTTAAACCTTGGCTAATTGAGGTAAAGTTCTATAAAATACTTCCTTCTATAAAAGTTCCTTCCTTCTATAATGTTCTATAAAAAACTTCCTTCTCATTTCACGGAATAAAACTAAGTAGATTTTAATGTAGTCTTTCCTCTTTTTAGATAGTATTTTTTGCTTATCGGGTAAGTGGATTAAGAAAAACACTGGAAAGTGACATAGTTCATGTGATGACTAAGCTACCATGGGCTTTTCTTTCATATTTTTTTGGTGTTTCTGTTTGTTTGTGGCTTTCTGTTTTGGTTTCTAACTCCAGTGCATCCATGCAACTGCACTTCAGGGGCAGTCTGAATGTTAGCAGCCCTGTTAAATACTGGATCAGTACCTGAAAAATGGCCATCAAGTTTGATGGAGCAAAACATCAAATTTAATTTTTAAATGCTGTCATGGCCTTAACGTTACAGATTAAGAGGAAACAAAAGGGGCGTACAAAGTATAATTAGGATATTTGGAAAGATTTTTATTTTTTACATAAATTTCTCTTTCATACATATACTTTAGCTCTGTATGTTCAATATAAATTTTGTCCATCCCTCTTCCTTCTCAATTTAATTTGAAGTGAACTTCATTAAAAAAAAAATTCTGTTTATCGCTTTGATACTTACTTCTCCAAAATAAATGGGGAACAAAGATATGTTAAATGAATCCCAGCTTTAATTAAAACAAGATACAATGCAGTGCTTTGAATAGAGAGCACTCTCCAGCTCACAATATAACAGGAGAACTCAGGTAAGAACTTGGAGAAAAGTTGTTTTCCAGAAGAGAGCCCCAGATTTCTGTGGGCAACAGTGGCTCATGTAAACTGGGCAAATTTTAAGGACTCAAATGTATGGGGTCTGTAACCATGTAAACAGAAAATTAAATAAAAATTCTGCCTTGTCTGATTGACCCTGGTGAATCTCACCTCAACAGAAATCTGCAGGCTGACACTGCAGACACTTAACAGAGTGGTGCTTTCCTGTCTAAGTAAAACGAAAAATGCCCAGTGGGGAATTCCTTCCAGTGCCTGAGGAACTGAAAGATGTCTTTTGAGCCACCAAGGCTCAATTTCCCGTATGGCACACACAGACATCACACATGCTGTTTGAAGAACACTCCAGAAACTGATACTGGTTTTTTTCCCTTTTATAGGTTAATGCTTCCCCTTCTCTTACTTCCAGCACTGCTAATGATCGCATCTTGAAGTATAATCTTATTAATGACACGCTTAACATTGCTGTGCCTAACGGGGAAATTCCTGACTGCAAATGGAATAAATCTCCACCAAAAGAGGTTCTGGGCAATTATGAAGTCTTGTAAGTTTTATCAGTGTTTCATAGAAAAGCCAATGGTTTTCTTTCAGCTCACTTTTTTTTGATGTGTAGTGTAGACCAAAAAGATAAAGTAAACTTCATTCTGATATGAAAAATGGGCACAAAGTACCACTTCATTTCTTTGGAGCGGCATTGGAGGTGGGACTGCATTAAAGCAGAGTTCCCTTGCCTCGTGTCCAGAGACAATGTTGCCTGATAAGCTCCTGCTTCCACCTTCTGAGCTTCTAGCAGCTAGAACTGAGGGACAGAAGCAAAGAGAATGTTTGCCTTCTACATGTGCAGAACTTTAATTTTATGGAGGATAATATATACATGGTACTTAAACAGTTAAAATAGTTGGTTCTGGTTTAAAAGTTATTTGATGCAAATTTTCTCTCAGTTCATGGAAATAATGCCTCATGCCTCTTGAGTCCTGTGAATAATGAATGTAATAATAAATCATGGAATTGTCAGATATTTTTTAATTTCCTCGATCGGTATTATAAAGAGAGAAATGAAGGAAACTGAGACTTTTTATATTGGAATGTCTGTAAGATTTATCTAGGATGGATTGGTTTTATGCAGAAGAACCCTGATTTGAATACCATATTGCTGACAGTTTCTTATCTTTTTTGAGAAAATGTTTGGATAGTTTCTCTTAGCATTAGTGGTGCAGTCGCTCAGTATGTCAGGAATGCCCTTTATGTACATAGCTGATCCACTAGTTCTTGCTCATCTTAAATACTTTTACTCTATACTAGTAAAAGCAGTTAAATGTAAGCGGTCTGAATTAGGATTTAAAATTTAATGAATGTTATACACATGGTAGCTATGAATATCTATAAAAGAGTATAACTAAGTATATTTTATGATTTTCCTACAAAATTCTTTAGTATTATCTTCTGTTAATTAAAATTACCTATTTATAACCAAATTCTGCTTGGAATTTGCATAGCAGTTGAAATGTCAGTTTATGCTGAGGTTATCTGAGGCTATAATGGATGTAGATATCTACAGAACCGCTCATCATTGTGCTTAAGTGTTACAAATACATATTATCAGATGCATTTTGTATGATCACATGGCTGCTTAGTTCACCTCATTCTTTCCCTTCTCTCTTTGTGATGCAGCAGGGGAGTTTTAACGCTGCAGCTAACAATCCTCCCTTTGAAGCAATAGCTCAGGAGTTATTTGAACTGGCAGCAGGCTCATGTTCTGCTTAACCACAGACCTGCAGAAGTACATGGGGAACTTCACAAGCACAAAATTTCATAAGCTTGGGAGTTTAACTAAAGCTGCCAGATGACTTGTTTCTTTCAAACTGGCGCTGAAGATATTTCAGGATGATCTGTATTGTAAAATTATAGATTCATAGACTCATAGCTGCTTGTCATGCTATGCCTGCATGAAGCCGTATGCAGAGCAGCTTGTATCAAACTCCATTTCTAGACAATAAGCAGAATAGAACGTAGAAGTAGAATGCACAGGGCCCAGAGCTGTTTGTGTAGCAGCACAAGGCACTGAAGGGGTTTCCTCTCCTGCAGATACGATGAAGAGATGGCGCAGAGCGACGGGACTGACCGCGACCTGCGGGGCCGTCCTGGGCAGCCCACGGGGGTCAAAGGAAGCCGTGCAAGAGATTCAGGAAAGCCTGTCCTGACCACCTGGAAGTGATGACAGAAGAAACAGCTGCATTCTTGGTAGGACGGCATCAAGAATAACTTGAGGTTTTGGAACAGATTCCTATGTTTTGGTACATTCATGTAGGAAATACTAATGAAGACAAAACAGCCTTTGAAAAGTGAAACAAATGCTCAAAACCCAGGAACTGTACTAGACATATACTGACCTGATAATTATTACAATAGATATAGAGTGTGTATGTATATACAGTTCTGTTTATATGATTTGTATAAACTAATTCTCAATAATGATCAAGAGCTTTATTTATAAAGTGGCAAGTCAAATGCACATTCTGAAAGAAACTCCTTGCTGTTCTGGATAGTATTTATTTCCTCTAGTAGCCTATCCCTTCCTGCCTATAATAAATGAGCTGTGGATTCTATAAAAGGATGATGGTGGTAAACATTAATTTTTTCACAGTGATGGTTCATATTCTTGTAGTAAAAGAAAAGCAACTAGAAAAAAATAGCAGTACATCTACTTGAGGCTGTTGCCAGTTAATGCAGCTATTGATTTATAACTAGTATTAAAAAATTGAAAAGCAAGTCCTTATATGCTGAGGGTTAGGGGTTTTTATTTCCTTTAGGTGTTCTGAGCTCCTAACTCTTTAAAAGTAGGAAGTTTTATGGACTGAGGGAGTATTTCGATGGTATATTGATGGACTGTTTCACTAGTCATTAATTTTTATTTTGAGATAGTGCATGTCTGTGAAAAACAGACAGAACAAAGATACTGTGATAAATTTCATTGCTTGAAGCTGATGATTAATCTTTATTTACACCAGAATCTCTCAGTGTATTTATGCATGTATATAAGCCAAATATCTGTATATTTTTGTATATTTAATTTACAAAGATTGTTGCACATGGCAATCTATGTTTGATAGCTATGTTAACAGTTGTGATGATTAGCTACCAAAACTAAGATGCAAAACTTAGCTACCAAAACTTAGGAGCAAAAGATAAAAATGGATATTTCAGTCTTCTAACAACAAAGCATATGAATAAACTAGTGGGGTCTGTGATTGGCTGTTGCTTCCACTTGACTTCAAACAAGATATTGGGTGGTTATTTATAAATGGTAACATGCATTGGTTGGGTTTATTCTCCTCTCTCCCTCCCTCCCCCTTCTTCCTTTTTTATTTTTTTTCTTTTTTGTAAAGTTTAACTCTCCCAGGGTTTTTAGTTTCTTGAACATCTAAACCAGACCACCTGCAACTGCACCACTTCACCTGTTTTGGAAGATCCTCCTAGAAGAGTGCAGCAAACCATGGTCTCCAGGACAGCTGAACACAGTCTGGCCAGAGCAGCTTGTGTTGGGGAGGAAGGGCAGGTGTGGGCTGGGCTGACCAATACCCTTACACAGAATCTGGGGCTAATCCTGGCAGTAAAGAATGAAATCTGTCGGCTGAGTAACTCCAAGCAGTCTTCATTGATCTTGTATATTCCACTAAAATAAAATCTAACTGGTTCTCTCTTCATCAGCTTTGAATCTTCTCACTGGCCTCTACAAAAGCATATTCTAGGTGACTCTTGAAATAAATAAATGTAAGGTAAGATGATCACTGCAGGATTGTAAAGCTCACCTAAATTCCAGGTCTCATATTTTGTGGTTGGCGTTTTCTGCTTGGGTTTTTTGGTGTGGGTTTTATTGGTGGTGGTGGTGGAGGGTTGATTTGGTTGTTCTTAATTCCTAACTGTGAGTCTTGCTTGTATATTTGAGCCTTGACAGGCAAGCTGCTCTTAAGCAGAGGTGTAGTCAGATGTGTTAATCATCCTAGTGTTTTAATTACTGATATTTAGTGGGCAGATGTTTCTGGTTTTACCCCTAAGTGCCTGTTAGGGATAAAGTGGGAAGTACTAACAGCCCTAGGGACTCTGGGCCTGTAGTAAATAGTATTTTGTAGTATGATTACATTTTTGACAAACAGGTAACATAACAAGGGTGCTGTGATAGAAGGAAAATGAAGCTTTCTCTGACTGCTTGTGATTATTTTCTGTAGTGGCTGGGACAGAGGATGTGTTGTGGTACTCTTGTATTGCAACAGTAGTACTCCTTTCTGGGAAGGCTTAACATGACAGAAAAACCAGGTCTGAGATTTTAGGATTTATTGCTGTGGAAGGCTATGGAGACTGAATCCTGGGGATACTTTTAGGTGTAATTTTCACAATGGCCCAATACTGATAATAACATCGAAATAATCCTTGTTTTCCAAAGTGGTTTGTTGGTGGTACTCTGTATAGGCAGTGGTGTTATTACAGCAGATATTAACAACACAAAATAGTAATGGCACTTTCTGTAATATTACTGATATACATGTAATATACTAATATACTGAATATATTAGTATGTACTATACTATATACTGGATATCCTTATGTTAATTGTTTAGAGGGTTTCTGCTGGCTTATTAAGGGTCAGCTCATTTAAGCTTGCATCCTCAGTATTCAATATTTGAAAAGTCAGGACTGGAAGTTTTGCTGTTGCTTTCAAAGATTTCTGTCCCAGTGTACAGCAGATACATTAAGCAAAATAAAGTATTTGTAAAGAATTTTTTTATTTGGAAAATGTTTTTGTAACAGACCTGTCAGTTCTAAACATGTAAATCCTTCTCTCTGGCCCAGGGTAGTATTGGGAAAGCATATTTCAAACCCTTGGGGATGAAACATCTTCGTAAAATATCTAGTAAATTATCAGTACTACCTCAAAATAAAAGCATTGAAATATTACTAACTAGGGGGGAAGAAATGAAAATAAAAACCTGATAAGAATCTTTGACTATGTAGTAAAGAATCTCAGAACTAGAATTAAGATTTCAAATGTTGATAGCACATTTTAGTTATATCTCCAACCAATGTCTTGCTAGTAATTTATCTTGCTCACCAAAACATGAATTTAGTCATGCAATGTTCTCTTTAAAGAACAAGAATTCAAAGACACTGCAAATGCAGTGACCCTCTCTTCCTGATCTCATTCTATTTTCTTTTTAAAAACAATAGTCTAGTGATTATATACATCAGACTGCTTTCTCCTTGTTTCATTTTCTTCACAGGCTTTTTGCAGAAGTTGAAGTTTGAAGCCTAATTATATTTTCACTTCCAACATGAAAAGCATATGTATGTAAAAGGAGTTTTAAGGAACAAAACTGAAATAACATGGAATTCTAATATACAAAGATTGGTTTTCTGGTTATCAGTACTAAACTCTCCTGGTTTCAACTGGGATAGAGTTAATTTCTTCTCAGTACCTGTTGCAGTGCTGTGTTTTGGGTTTGGAATAAGAATGGTGTTGATAAGTCACTGATGTTTTGGCTTTTTACTAAGTTGTGTTTATCCTAAGTCCAGGACTATTTTTTTGTCTTGTCCCATGCTCTGCTGGTGAGGAGGTGCACAAAAGGAAGAGAGAAGGAGCACACCTGGGAGAGGTGACCTGAGCTGGCCAGGATATTCCACACCATGGAATGTCATGGCCAGTCTCTAAACTGGGGGAGTTACTCAATATGTCTGATTGGAGTTTGGGAAAGGGGGTCTGCAGATGGTGAGCAGTTGTATTGTGCATCACTTCTGATTTTTTTATTATTATTATTATTACTACTACTACTACTACTAGCCAATATTACTTCATTTTATTTTACTTCCAATTATTAAACTGTTCTTATCTCAACATACAAGTTCTATTTCAATTCTCCTCCTCACTCCATGAGTGTGGGAAGGGGAAGAGAGGGAGCTAAGCGAGTGGCTGGGTGGTGTTTCATCTCCAGCTGGGCTTAAAACCACAACAGAAAGCCCAGGAAAAAAATCTGTAAGTGAGCAGCAATTCTTCCTTTTCTATGCAGAACTTGAGGCCTCGTGTACGTCAGTGAAATGTTCTTGAGAAACTCAAAATTAGGAAGCTCTGTTGCTACGTAATGTCTGTTTTTAAGGCTCGTTGAGAAATTCTCAGAAGGAATTTGAGTAAGGAAAGAATCTGTGTTAGCTGGAATGAGTATGCATAAAGCAACTTTTCTGCAGACTTGAAGGGTGCCAAGGAAACAAAAACAGTCATAGCTAATAGTTCTGTGGGAGGAGGAAGAGGATGATATGTGGATATTAGGCTGTGAGATGCTGGTTCATGCCTGGTCTTGAAAGGTAAAGGTGAAAATCGAGTTAGGAGGAAGAGAAACTGAAAGGGAAAACTTTAACTGCTTACTCAGAAATAAAATCTTCACCTTTTCACTTCTGCATCTTCAACTAAATGCTTTGCTGTAGTAGGACAGGACTAATGGTACCAAGTGGTGCCCAGGCTGGTGGGAGCCTGGAGCGGGCTCTGCTAAGAGCTGGAACTGAGGTGATGAGGGAGATGAGTGTTCCCTGCTTGAGGCAGGTGTCTGCTGCAGGAGCTCAGGGCAATTGACTGCAGGAGTGATGCTGACATGTGTAATAAAAGATGGCAAACCTCATGTGGATGCTCTCATTCAGAGGTAAGGTAGCTCTTTTTGCTGGACTCTGATTCTCCAAAAGGTTAAAGCCTTTTTCAACTCTGACTGAGAGAACTTAAATCTGAGTGACTGCGAGCAGACAAGCTCTTAGTTCTGACTAACTAACTGTAGCCTTGGGCCAGTCATCCTCCTAATGTATCTCACAGAGAACTGTTTTAGCTTTCTGGGGAGCAAAATAAATTGGAAATAACAGTTCTCAAAAGTTCTGACTTTAGCTAGTATAATAACTTGCCAGGCAGAGCTGATAATAAATGTGTGTCTCAGTCCTAAAATACTATTCTTCATATGCTCCAGTGCTCCCTGGCATAAGGACAGTATTGTATGAAGAATTAAATGGACAAGCTCTAAACAGCTACAGGAATTGTTATAATGGCATCAGGGTAGAAGGAGTTTATTGTTAGAGTTGAATAGTGGGGCTTGCTTCCTGGGCACTAACCTTTCTCCCTATTAATTCTTTGACATGGAAGGAATTAATAAGATTCCCAGAGAATAGCTTCTGTACATGGCTTGAGGAACTTGATTAATATAAAAAACAGTATTATTCCTAAAGCTACTTCACTACTGTTGGCTTTACAATGGGACTTCTGCCTAAAATGTCCCTGTCTCCTGATTCACTTCCTGCTATAAACTCAGCAAAACAATAGACAATTCACAGAAGATATATAGCCCTGCATTTCATCAGCAGAACATGTCAGGCAGAGCTCATTTATCTGTGGTAGAGGAAGGGCTTTACTGTGGCACTCTGAACTGGTGCTGTTGCTCGAGCAGTTGCTGTTCAGTTGGCTTGGATGGAAATGACAGAAGGGAGCTGACATTCCGTGCCTGCTTTGAGACAGGAGTTCACTCCAGCCTCGGGGGTGGTGGGAAGGACTCTGTGCCCGTGCTGCAGAGGTATCCATTTTTGCTGACCTGTGTGGCTTCTTAAAAAAAAAAAAAAAGCCAACAAAACAAACAGAAACTTTATTCCTGTCTTCTCTGCAGAAAACAAATGCGGATAGCTGGGAGAAGCTGAGTTTAGCCACAATTTTGTTTAAAATTCCATTATTAAGAGGAAATAGGAGCATAAATGAATATCTTGGAAAAATTCGTTGTTTTATACTGAATTGTAGGAAGTTGTGTAGGCTAGACTCCATGCTTTTCCACCTTTTTTAAGTTGCCTAGGCAAGCTCTCCATACTTGAACTTTCCCAGTAATGACAATCACATTGATACCTTTGCTATTGACAGAAAGTCTTGTGTGCCTTAATTATTCTGCAATTTTGTACCTATTAAAAGTAAATAATTCACATCTGAGGTAGCCACAGACAACTGCTGTAAAATAGAAAAGTTTGGACAGTATGAAACAGTAATTAAAAACACTCATGAAAGCAAGAAGACAACAAAAAGTACTTCAGACGAGAACATGGCTTTTATTTGAAAGGTTCTTTCCCAGTGAAAGCTGGGGACTGAAACTGTGAAATTCATTGATTTGAGTGGGATTAAATTTAATAATCTGAAATTTATTGTCATTGGTTGGCATATATAGTCACCAATGGCATTACATTTGCAAGCAAAATATGGTTTTTGGTTTTTAAATATAGTGTAAAGTGTAAATAAAGTGTAAATAAAGGTTATAACCCATGGTTATTTGAAGTGTAAATAAAGGTTATAACCCATGGAGTTTCTTAGCAAGAGAGAAAGAGTTTGAAGAGAATTCTGAAATGTTATGGCAGCAGTCGAGAAACACAAAATTTGTTCTGAGTGAAGGCAAGAGACAGAATTTCTCTACAGGGAAAGTACTAGTGCCTGAAAGGACACATGGAATTTCTGAGGACAGCAGAAGAAACAAGAAGCATATTTAAAAATAGATTGTGTTAAAAGTAAAAATAACCGTGGGATACTTATCTAAAATGAGAGGATTTTTTTTTTTTTTCCCCACAAACTTCCTGTCCTGTTCCTAACAGTCTGATTCAAATGCTCACCAGTGGGGCTGGGGAGACTGTCAGCTGTTCTTCTGAGGAAAAA